CTCAACTCCCAGGCCTCCTCCTTCCCTTCCCTCACTGCCCTCTCCCTCCCCCTCGTCCCCCTGTCCTTCCTAAATCCTCCCTGACTTCCGTCTCCACCTCCCATAGCTCACCCAGCCCCTGGCCCTTCTGAAGTGGCTCTCCAGCAACGGTCCTTCACTGGGGACTGCCACCCCTCAGTCTGTCACAACGGGGAAGAAGAGGCAGCCCTGGGCCAAAAACGCCATTTCTGGGAGCCTCCTCCCAAAAGCAAACCTAGATCAGATCCTGCATCTTGGAGTGCGCTGCGGGAGAAACTGAGGCACAAAGAAAAGAACTGGTGGCTTCAGAATGTCCTTTCCCTTTCCATGAAGTACATCTCCAGGAATGAGAGAAGGCCACAGGTGTATGTTCCTGCCTGTGGCTAACCCAGACCCTCACCAGGCCTGTCTGTGCCCCCGGCCTGGGCTCAAATTTTCCCCCAATTCTCTACCAAGTGGCACTCTTGGTAGCCTGGTCCCTATCAGAATGTCTCAGCACCTCACATCTTCTGGATTCCCAGCTCCAGCCCAGACCTCTGCCTTAGCACCAGACTTCAATGCAAGTGTCTCATTGCCGGCCGACCCCTTGGATGTCTGACACGTTCCTTTATTAGTCCGTTTTCCATAGCTATAACAAAATACCTGACGCTGGGTAATTTACAAAGAAAGAGGGTTATTTAGCACATAGGTTTGGAGGCTGAAAGTCTAGACAGCAAGGTGGTGGCTCTGTGGGGCCTGCCTGGCTGCCTTGAGGTGGATGACATCCTGGCAGGAGCATGGCCAGAGGGGGAGATCACACAGCAAGGACGGAAGTCAGAGAGACCCGGGAGGGGCCGGTCTTGCTTTTATAAACAACCCTCTGTGGGAACTAAGCATCATCCCGTGAGAACTGCATTAGTCTCTTCCAGAACCCCCAGACACCTAGTGACCTCCTATGGGCCCCACCTCTTAAAGTCCCCCATTTCTCAACATGGCCACTCTGGGGAGCAAGCTGCCAACACAAGAACCCCTGGGGGCCAATCCCATGTCCAAACCACAGCACGGCTCAGACTCCACGGTTCATACCAAACCCCCTGTGTCTCCATGGTTCATACCAAACCCCCTGTGTCTCCGTGGTCCGCTCCTCCCCCATTTCGCCAGGTCAGTAGATGGCGCCACTACCCATGGCCTCAGGCCTCCAGCCCCCAATAGCCGCCCTCTCCTTCAGACCAACTCCCACCTGCTGGCAGGTCCTGGCAACTGCACCTCCGAAGCACAGCCGGCACCTGCCACCATCCCAGTTCAAACTCCGGTCACCCCTACACAGGGCTTCAGAAGCTGCCTCCTCCTGGCTCCTGTCCCTCCCCACTTGTGCACAGCAGCCACAGGAATCTTTCCAGAACAAAGCTCCCGCCTGGGGCAGCGCCAGCCCCCTCTCCCTTCCTTCCCAAGGCTCCTGCCACTGGCAACCAGCCTCAGACCCCCCTCGCAGGCCTCCCTCGGCCACTTAGGTAGGCCCCCTGCCCCTGGCCTGCACCTGGCCCCAGCTTGGCAACTTGTGTGAGCTGCCCACAGCCTGCTCCCTATCAGAATGTGTCTCCATGGCGACCAGGTCGTGGGCTCTTGCCCCTAGAAGGGAAGCTCCCTCCCGACAGGGGTGGCGTCTGTCCCTTTTGCTCTCCGCCCTGATGGCTGGTCTGCCCCCGCAGCGTTTGCTGACGGCCTTCCAGGCTGCCCTTGCGTGGCCTGGGCACCAGCCAAAGGAGCCTGTGCCAGGGCCCAGGAGCCAGGATCTGGTTCCCGATCTGTGGCTCACACAGGTGACAAAGGTCTCTGCAAACTCAACTCCCAGAAGCTGCCACTTCCGCCTTCCCACTCTGGTAGAAGGGGCATCGGAGGCCCAGAGACAGAGGTGACAGCAGTACAGGTGGCTAGAACCGACCGTCTGTCTCCAAGGCTGGGCTCCTCCCCACACGACACATGCATGCATGCGTGGGTGAAGGGGGGTGTCACTGCCGGTGATCTTAAAGTCCCTTGCAAATGCCAAGTACTTATGTAAGCCCACTCAGAGGAGGGAGAACCACCCCCCAGGCTGCTGGAGGGCAGCTGTCCCCTGCCAGCAAACCAGCCCCTGGGCTCTGTCAGAGGCCTGTCTCTGCATTGATCTCCTGGTGGCATTTAGGTGGACAGACCAGGTTGTTTTGCGCCTTTCCTTCCCGCTCACCTACCACATCCCTCCCCAGCAGCCACTGGTTGCTAGGCAACATGGGACCAGGCTTGGGTGCAGGATTTCAGAGCTCAAGGGAGGCTGGGGAGGGGTTAACCCTTGCAGGGCAGCTCTTTGAACTGAGGGGTAGGGAGTAGGGAGGGGGGCCTACCCCAGGAGAGTGGCCGGAACAGCCTTGGCCGCCCAGTGCTTTCCCACCCAGTAGAGGGGAAGAGGAAACCTGGACAGACCGGGAAATCGCTGTGTCCCAAAGGAAGGGCACTAACTGGGTAGCCACTGCGGGCCAGCCGCTGTAGCAGGTCACTCTCCTCAGTGCTCCCAGCCACTTTGTGAGACACCGGTGATGAGCTCCGCTGTATAGACAGGGAGACGAAGGCCCAGCTGGGAGCGGGGAGGCTGGCAGGGGGGAGGCGGGGCTGGGACCTGGCTCTGCCTGGCTCTTTCGCCTTTTAGCAGGAGTGGGAAGATCTGAGCCATTAGAGAGGCCCTCGTTGCCCTCCCTGGGCCAGGGCTGAACCTTCTGACTAGCTTGCTGCACATCACGAGGCCTACATCTGTGTGAGAGTCCTTCCAACAAGCATGAGCCTGGCACCGTCTACAGGGCAGGGTGGTGGGGGGCAGGCCCACCTGGCTCTGAACCCCAACTCTTCTTTCCCTGACTGTGACCGTGGCTGTGACTCAACCTCTCTGAGCTCAGCCTCCTCTTTGATAGTGGAGGGAATAGTACCCACCTGAGAGGCCCATTGCTGGGGTTCAAGGTGCTGCATGTAGAGCATCTATCTTGCCACCTGGAGTTTCCATAAGAATGTGACTCGCAGGACAGGAGGAGCCTGGCCTGCCCTTGCTCTGTGCCTGGCCCTGGCACAGTGCTGGCATTGGACAGGCACCCAGGGGTGCTCAGTGCATACTGGGCAGGTGAATAATCGTACCTGGGTCCCAACACACAGCAGCCACAGATCCAGCAAGAGCCCAGGTGGCCTGGCTCTCGGCTCACTGCTGGGGGTTGCTGATGCCCGGTGCTGACACACAGTCCCTCCTGTGCTAGGCCCCTGGGCAGGGAGGGCTCCAGACTGTGGAGCCCGGGGCAAGGCTTGGGGCAGCAAGTGAGGAAAGCACAGCCCAGGCCACCAGCTGGCCAGTCCAGCTCTCGTCACCACCCGGCACACGCCAATCAGGGGACATGTGTCACCTGGTGGGGCTCCCGCCTCCTCCCACCCCCAGTTACTTTCCTGTACCCTCCCCTCTCCTGAGGTACAGTGTCCCCACGGGCCCTCTACCCTGTGAGCAGCCCGAGCGGAGGCTTGGTCTGGGCCTCTGACCAGTGAGGAAGCCTCTCTCCACCCCCTGATTCCACTGCCCTCCCTTGACACCACCTGTTCCCTTCTTCCCCGTCCTTGCACTTTCTGAGCCATCAGAGGAGGGCGCCCTTGAGCATTCTTCTCCAAGAGTGGGGCCTCTTTGACGGCGGTCAGGGGCACTTGACACCTTCACCAAGATGAAGAGAGGGAGCCCTGCAAAACCGACCAGGAACCAGGTTGGGGACGGTCGGGGGACCTTGCCAGGCATCCGTCCCTCTCTAACCGACAGTCACCGGCCCCTCCTCATGGGGCAGACAGCCCCTGGCCTCAAGAAGGTGTCATTCTTGTGTTGAAGCAAACAACGTCCTGGGGCACCCCCCACCTTCCCCTCTCCCAGTGTGGCCGTCGGGGGAAGAGGTGCTTGGCTTTCAGCCTGAGGATGACCCTGGGCAGAGAGTCCAGCCTGCAGCCTGCTTGAGCTCCCCTGGGGAAAGGGGTGCTTCCGGTCAGGGGAGCACTCATGGGGAGCGGGGGGAGCTGAAGCTGATCTTCTCCAGCCAGTGTCTGCCGGAGCCTCCAGTCTACCCCACCTCCGTCCTCACAGCTGGTGCCCAGAAGACCTCACAGTCCCACCCCTGGGTCTGGTACAGCCGAGTTAGAATCCCGGGTCAGCACACTGAGCGCTCTGGATGGGGGGGATGGGGGAGTGCATGTCCTTGGGATGGCTTTCCCTGGCCTCACGGAGACAGATGAGCTCCAGAAACCCTCACTATGGATAATCACACCGGGGAGGAAAGGTGTTCCCGCACCCCCACCCTAGGAAGGGAGCCCCACCCTGTATGGGGGGCCCAGACCACAGGCTGGAATGGGTGCCACCCACAGAAGGCTACTGCCAAAGCCACTTGCTCTTTAGACCACACTTGCCCTACCCATACCTACACCCCACCAGCCGATCCACACCTCCGGAACTCCAGGTCGTTCCCCGTGGGTGGACTCTCAGTGTACCTGCCCACTCTGGCTTTTTCCCACCTCTTTCAGTGGCCTCAATATCCTATGGATTCCCTTCTTATACCCCTCCTAGTTACTTTTGTGTCCCCCATGGCACCCATCTGCATGCCTGGCATGCAGTTGCCCTTAACGAGTGTTTGCTCAACTGAAAGACGGTTGAGCTGCTTTGTTAACACATGACAGAAATAAGGAAGAATGTTTGCAACAGCAACAGTTGCCAAGGGAAGCTGCAAAGACAATGAAATCTCAAGTCAACAACTTTTTATTGAGCAGGTACTATTTGCCAGGTGCTAGAAATACAGCTTTGGGCAGAGAGACCAATGAGAGATAAAAACAAGCCCTTTCCAAGGAGCTCTGGTCCTTGGTCTTGCCCCTTTCCATCTCAAAGCATCTGGAAAAAAATCTCATTTTCTAAAAGAACACTGGGTCAACAAGGAAGTAGTGGTTAAGGAAAGACCAGATTCTAAGGCATTTCCCTACAGAGAAGGCTACTCACAGACCACCGTCTTGTTGATGATGAGGGACTGGTAGCTGTTCCACACGGGCTGGCAGCCAGACTCCTTCAGCCTCTCGTAGCAGCAGTCATGCGTCACACAGCATCTGGGATCAGATGAGAGGGAGACGGCATCCGTGCAAGGTCCCTGGGGAATCGGCTGGAGGACCTCAGGTGGAACAGCAAGGGACTCACCTGCCTCCCCTCCTGGAGCCAGAGTGGCGAACTACTACTAAAACAGTTGTCCCTCAGTTCTAAGGAGGAAGGGTTCCGCATCCCTGAGGATGCCGAGGTCCTCAAGCTCAAGTCCCTTATGTAAAATGACATAATATTTGCCTATAACCTACCCATGTCCTCTGTAATACCTAGTGCAATGTAAATGCTATGAAAATAATCATTATACTGTGTTGTTTAGGGAGTAACAAGAAAAAAGCCCATATGTGTTCAGAACAGACGCATTGTTTTTCAAATAGTTTCCATGTGAGGTTGGTGGAATTGAGGATGCAGAGCCCGTGGCCGACTGTAATATTAAAAATAAATTAAAACAGCCAGTAACGTCCACTGAGCCCCCCTAGTACCTACTGCTGTTTCCTTGGTGACTCGGTCCCCTGGGCAGTATAGTCATTGTCCCCATCTTATAGGGGAGGAAAAGTGATTCAGAAAGGCAAATTTCTCAAAATTATGTGGCTGGCGTGTGGGGTGCGTGCGTGCGTGCGTGCGTGTGTGTCTAAGCAGAAAGGAAAAGAATTGCTATATATCATATTAATAGATCTGATACTTAATAGTTGCTGGTTAAGTGTTTAGTTCAACAAAAGAATGTTGAAACAATGATGGGAGAACAAAAAGTATACTCATGATATTTGCAAGACCCAACAATTTGTTGATTACAAATCTTTGTGAAGTTAGCTGCTGTCCTGGAAATACAAAACAAATTAAGAACAGGGCAGTAGCAGGAGTTTACATTCTAATCATCTAATGGTTGCCCTTAAGTAGCCGAGACCTAGCACATATCCTACCCTGCAGGGAACAATAAACCTTATCATCTAAATATACACATAATCATGTGGATACAATAAGTTTAATCACAGCCCTAAGACAAAGGACACATAATAGAGACCTCGTGAAAGCAGGAGGGGGGGGGGCTGAAAATACCTGTGTCTTCAAGAGTAATAGTGACATTTCAAATTAGGGAAAAATACTAAGGGGAGGTAAGATAAAAACAAATAATTAAAATGATAAAAAAAAATTATGTGGCTGGGAATGATAGACCCAGAACTCAAATAGGTCCCTGAGACTCCTCCATCGGTCTAGCCATTTTTCCTGAGCACCTTCTATGTGCCAAGCACTGGGATAGTCTTTTTTTTTTTATTAGTTGTTCAAAACATTGCATAGTTCTTGACATACCATATTTCATACATTTGATTCAAGTGGGTTAGGCACTCCCATTCTTCCCCCATATACAGATTGCAGAATCACATCGGTTACACATCCACATTTTTACATACTAGTGTCTGTTGTATTCTGCTGTCTTTCCTATCCTCTACTATCCCCCTCCCCTCCCCTCCCCTCCCATCTTCTCTCTCTACCCCATCTACTGCACTTCATTTCTCTCCCTTGTTTTTTTCCCCTCTTTCCCTTCAGCTCCATATGTAATTTTGTATAACAATGAGAGTCTCCTTCCATTTCCATGCAATTTCCCTTCTCTCTCCCTTTCCCTCCCACCTCTGTTTAATGTTAATCTTCTTCTTTAGTCTTGAAGGAGACTACTGTCAACAAGAACAGTCACAGTCCTCGCTCTCAGTGCTCAGAGCTGGCTGGGGGCTGGGGGGTGGGGGGCGGGGCCAGGGGAACAGCAGGGGATTGGTCTCTGCCCCTTTCTTCCACCACGAGGGTCAGCCAGTAAGAAGACAAGATAAACCTGGGCTCAGATCCTAAGACCAGAAATGCCAAGGACAGCGATTTCATCCCCTTTCCCTTTCCCATCTGCAGGCGGGCTCTTGGCCTTCATCTATGGCTCATAGTTTTGAATCTGCCTTTGAACTTGGACCGGGAGGCACACATCATTAAGGAAAGGGGACGGGCTATGACAGAGGCAAATCCTATTCCAGTCCTGGTTTTGCCACTTAGGACCACAAGGCTTGGCGGCTCTTGGTCTGGGACCTCCCCGTCCTCACCTGTAACATGGGGGTGGTGACACCACCTCCTATATTCACTAGGAGGGTTAAATCAGTCCTCCTGCAGACCACCCGTCCTGGCCCGTCCGCTGTTCCACCACCAAGCGCGGGAGATACTTCAGGCCCTGGGGTGGGGACATAACTGTCCAGCTAGGTTGAACGTGGCAAGGAACACTTTGTCTTCTTATTTCTTCAAATGAAGCAACACGCATACTACCCAGTTTTCTCCCGACACCCTCCCCAGATGACACCAGCTGTCACCTCTTCTAGGAAGCCGTGCTCGCCCACCCCATCCTTAGGAGCAGGCCTTGGAATCCAGGTCGGGCCGTGTGATCGCACCCAGATGGTCAACTTTTCCAAACTGGGCCACTTGGATTCTCTCCTAGAACATGTAATAGGGCCAGGAGGCAGCAGGGTAGTCTAGCCACACCCGTAATCCTAAAATCCAAGGACTGGGGGAAAAGCACACAGTTCCTTTAAAATAGCTTCTAGTGCTCTGAACAGGAACAGCTACGTGCCATGCAGGGCCTGGTGTGGAAGGGAACACAGACCTCTTGTCAAAAAACGGCAGGGCTGGGGATGTGGCTCAAGCGGTAGCTCGCTCGCCTGGCATGCATGCGGCCCGGGTTCGATCCTCAGCACCACATACCAACAAAGATGTTGTGTCTGCCGAGAACTAAAATAAACATTTAAAAAAAAATTCTCTCTCTCTTTTAAAAAAAATAAAAAAACGGCAAGGTGGTGGCAGCAGCACATACACACGTTGGGCCCATAGGAGGACTGGCCTGGCCAACTTCATGGTCACGTGTTCAAGAAGCTGGCCCCGGACACAGGCTCTTCAAGTCCCACCCTGTGACCCTTCCAGTCTTTTCTTACGTTGGCCTGAGTTGGTTTCTCTACTTGCCATGAAAGGCTCCTGGTTCTCCCCCTGCCCCACCCCTCTCTGGCTCCAAGCTACAGCTTCAGTGCAAATCGAATGGCAGGTGGCCTTGCAGCCCTGCACACACCTATCTGGGTCGTCCACAGGGATCCCTTTGCCTCCGAGCCCACAGTAGCAGTCCTATCCATAGTAGGAGAGGAAGGTGCTCCTTCCCGTGATGTGGCTGACCATCCTCTGGAACTGCCAGAAGCTGCTGAGGGTGGGGACTGTCACTGACAATGAGGAAACAAGGAACAGGAAAAGCGGCAAAGAGTATGGTGCAGCCTTGGTGTCCCCCACCAGGGGGCTTTGCAGGGGGGCTGTCACCAGGTCCCTAAAGTGATGGCCTGGTTGGGATCATCGGCCTCTCTCCTGGGGAAGAAATAGGACCAGGTTTACCCTGTCACACAGAGTTTCTTGCTAACCCACGATGAGCACCCAGTTTCCATGACATTTAGGACAATGCTCCACTGCCTTCCCCTCAAATGTAGAAAACCACCACTGGAGGCAGAAGCCCCCTCAGGTCTGACGCAACATTAACAGGAAAAGTTCAAAGCTAGAAATGCCAGTCCCTCCGGATATCATCAGGCATTTACAACCTCAAAGGAGAAATCAAATATGTACGAGGCAGGAGAGACACCCTCGATCCATATTTTAAAATAGCAAATGCATGTGGACTCAGTGATTTTTACTTCTACAAAACGCTTCCAGAAGCGGGCACAAAAATATATACAAGGATGTTTATTCGGTATTGTTTGTGATATCAGAACAACGGAAACCACCCACGTGCCCACCAATGGAGGGTGGGTAATAAAATTAGGTGTTTTGAAAATATATTGTCTTTAATAGCAATATCTCTAGACAATGGGATTTAGGAAGTGGATAGAGAAACCGAAGGGCAACAGTTGTTTTGTATACAGCTATGCAATTTGTTTTTATTTTTTACAATGAGCAGGTATTATTTTTCTATTACAATGTTTCCAGGTGTGGGGGGAGGGGCAGAGTAAGGACCTAGATGAATGAACACCCAAGTTTTAGGAGTGGCTACACCTTCGTGTAGGAAAGGAATAGGTGCCAGGGAAGGTGAAGAGGGGCTGCTGCCGGTACTCAGTATTAACTCTGCAATAAAAATACAGTCAAAACATGAACTTGAAGAAGAAAACCAAAGGCAGAATTTGGGGACATTTTCCCGGGCGCCTTCCTGCCTCGTTGCCCTGTTGGAAGCCTCACTGCTGTGGCAGAAGCCCCCTCCTGCGGCAGGCAGGAGTCGGTGCTTCTACTCTCCGAGGAGGAAAAGTTTCTGGGTCCACCTATGTTTGCCTTTTTAAAAAATGGATTGAGACTGTTTTTCCTAACTCATTCATATTTTGGTTTTTTTCCCATGAAATTATAAATGCATGATGATATCCAGAGGGGCTGGCGTTCTTGGCTTTGAACTTTTCTTATTTTACATCGACCTGAGCCAAGGGGGGTCATTTTCAGTTCCTGGAGAAAGGTGAGACCCCTCTTGGGCTGCAGCTCTTCAGGACATGCTGTGGGGCTACAGAAGGGACCCCTCCTGCATACAGGTTCCTGTTACACCATGACCTTGAAAGCTGTCAATTCCACCACTAGGGGTGGCTTAGACATTTTTAAGATTAGGGACCCGAAAGTTACTGTTATACAGCTGAAACAGACATTTTTTTTTTTTTAATGGATTTGGACAAATATCTACTCAACTAATCCAGAATAAATCTACGAATTTTCCTTTTCCTAGGGGGCCTTTCTTCATTTTGCAGAGGAATGCAATCTGCTCCCCTGGTCACAATGACTCACAGTGACCAGTTATTCCTTAAGTCATCGTTAGAATGTCTTTCTGATAATAATGCACCACACCTAAACTAGCCAGATATGTGCCTGCCATTTTGTGCAGAAGCCACAAAACTTTAAATAAAGGCAACTAACATCCAAAGGAAGACCCTCCCAGGGTCAGAAGCACAGCCGGCGCCTCTTCTGAGTACAAAGCCAGCAACATCCTAGAAGTTCTATGAGGTCTCGGCACTGAGGTCAGCACACTCCGCAACAGAAACAGAAGCAGAGCTTTGGTGGCAGCCTGTTTCGGTGACTTGTGGCCTTCCCTCACCCAGTGCCACCTCAGGAGGGGCCACCCCAATGGAAGAGCGAGGACAGCATCCTGGTACCACCTATCTGGCAGGAGATAAGGACAACAGGAAGGGCAATGACCTTCATCCCCAAGGACAGCAGGGGTCCAGGGAGCCAGGGTCCCACCTTCTTTGTCTGCCAGTGGAACTCCTGTTTGGGAAGAAGGGACTGGAATGAGACGAGGCCATATGAGTGCAAACCAGTCACTGTGCAGGCCTCGGAAGGCCTTCAGCAGAGGGCGCAGAGAGCTTTCTTCAATTCTCTCTGAATATAATATCCTTCCTGGTTTTTAGACCCAAATATTAAAAAATAAGAAGGATTCCATTAAAAAGTCCAAGTATCTTGTTTTTTTTAAAAAAAAAAACTTCTTTGAACAGCACCACCTCTTCAACATTTTCTTTTTCCTTTGGAGGAGTCAGGAGTCCCTCTGTTCTCAATGACACCTACACTGTTGACGGTGGCGATCCAGCTCATGGAAACCTGGTTCCGCTTGCATCTCTGTCCAGGGGTTTTCCCCGCTTGAAACCCTGGTGTCTTGGTGGTAAACTTCGTCTCTCCGAAACTTGGCTTCCTCCTGTAAAGTGAGACTAATGATCCCTACGAGTAACGTCAAGCCTTTATTAAGAATGCGAAGGGCCTGGCGGGTATTGTATGACTCAGCCTCACATCTTAGGAGTTCCTGTGACCACATAGAGAGGGGGTAACGGAGGCCCAGAGAAGCTGAACCAATTCCTTATAATCCTACAGCTGTCTACTCCACGGACTTGTGGGAACCAGTTGAAACAATGAAAATAAGACTGTTACCTGTTATAAACCACAGTAACAGGAAAACCTCGAGTTTTCATTACCATCAGTGGTAATGACACCCAGATTAGGCACACTGCCCATGGGCCAATGGAGGAGAATGGGGTCTTGTGTCCCAGTGAGCCACATGGGCCCCATCATAAATCAGGTTACGCCTGATAATGTCAGGACTTGGAGCGTGAACAATAGCTCAGCTGAGCCTAGAGACTTTGGCAGGTGCCCGAGCTGCAGCTCGATTTTCACCCCGTGGCAAAGTTTCCCAGGGAAACTTCAAAACACCCAGCCTGCCGCAGAGCCCGGGGAGAGGTGACCAAGTGCGTTTACTATTTTGCCCTCTTTGGCAAAATTCTGGTGGATGCTGTGAGGCCTGACCAGGTCGTGTGCTGGCCACCCTTCCTTTCCTTGCTATGCGGGATGTTTTTAAAATTAGGTTCTATCTCCACAGGCTTTTGCTTCCCTTTTCTCTTCTGAGTTTGAAAAATATAATTGTGCGCAGCTTTGGTGCACAAAGGAGAGACATCTTTGGAATGGGCAGGCGATGGTATTTGAAAGAGACAAAGAGAGGGGTCAAAGTTGGCTACTGGTAATGAAATCTGACAGACTCTTATTAAGCACCAACTGCGTGCTTGGCTAATGAGAAGATTCTGGCCCGAGCAAGGCTGCCAAGCTGGCCGCAGATACCGAATACGTATAGACCAAATATAGCCCTAAGCGCCGTGTGGGCAGAAGGTTTGGGTTCACTTCTCCATTGGTTCTTCCATGTTTAGCTGGATCTTCAGGGAGGACATGCCAGCTGCTCCCCACCCTCACTCCCTGGGAACTGCCCCTTGCTGCAGGGGACTCTATGTCTCGAGGTTATGACCCCTTAGGGGAGAAGGGAAAGGGTGGTTTCTAGTTCATGCCTGGCTGGGGTGCTGGTTTAAAGGCTTGTCCCCTGCCTCTTTCAGGATAACTCCAAGAGGCCTTGCCGGCCCCAGAACTCCCTGGAGGACTGGCCAAGACCTCAGCGACTGCCTGCATCAGCTCCCCCCTCTATGCATCAGCTTCTCCTGCTATTTGCCAGCGTCTCCCACAGCGTCAGATTCTCCCCCCCGTGACATCTTTCCCCATGCATGTCAGCTTCTCCCTCTGTAAGTAGGATTCTCCTTCTGGGTCAATTTCTCCCACTGTATTAGCCTTTTCTCCCCGCACCCCACCCCTGAGGCAACTTTGTCCTCCGCCCAGTCTTGCCTGGTTCAGTTCCCAATGGCTGGACCTCCTGGGAGGCTCCCAACAATGCGCTTCTCTGTCTGAGTCTGTATCCAGGGAGCCCAGAGGAAGCTCACGTGGAGCTGGGAGCACCGCTCTGGAGCTTGTAGAAATAAATGTCTTTTGTGCTCAGAGGCAGGAGCGTGAACCCTGGGTGGGGGGGGGGTCACAGAGAGCTTCCCTCAGGAGGGGCACTGGAGGAGGCCTTGAATGAACTTGGGCCTGTATTCTGCTCCCATTTCCTTCTCCCTACAGCCCTTCAAGGCAGGCGCCATCACTGTCGCATCTGACAGACGAGGAAACCGGGGCTCAGAGGAGAGAAATGATCTGAAAAAAATCCACACAGCTACCAAGTGGCAGGGCCAGGATTTACCTTCTGTCCCTAACTCCAAACCCAGGGCTTCCTCCTGCTCACTAGGTCCCCACCTAGACCCCTCGTCCCCGTGGCATTCGGAAGGTCTCAGCATTTTCAGAGACCACGGCTAAGGCTTGGGCGAGACAGATGCGGTTCCCTCCTTTTGACTTCTGGTTTGGGACTGAGACAAAACCAAGAGCTCGGGGCCAGAGAGCCAGAGAGGGAGGGGCAGCCACATTCAACCAACTCCTGCAGCAAGTGGGGGGCCCTGGGAGCCCCTCCGGGTTATGTGCACAACTCATTGATCCATCTTTCAACACACAGCACTGAAACCCTGGTGGACTCTGCGAAGGAGAAAGTAAGATGGACATAAACTGCAAAGCCCCATGAGAACCAAGGTCACAGCCATTTTATCCACTTCCTAATCCCTAGCACCCACCTAGCACGGTGCCTGACACAATGAGTACCAATGACGAAGAGGACAACTTATATATTGCACTCCCTTAACACCCTGCTAGGTTACTGACCACGTCACGTTTGCTGTTATTGCTATTAGGATATCTTCTTCATCGTACACAAAAGTAAACTAGGCAAGAAGAGATGGGGGGCATATACACACCTGAGGAATGAGTGGATGTGTGAATGGTCACTGTCTTGTCATATTTCGAGTCACACAGACAAAAGCAATACCTACAACCAACCTAGTACCAACATGAGGCCGCAGGTCGTCTCCGTGAGTCCTCTTGGGATATTCCCTGTGAGGCTTATGTTATCCATCCCAGTTTATCACTGAGGGTAACTGAACCTGGCAGAGGTTAGGTCATTGGCCCTGCGAATTGACAGGTGCCAGACTTACCCCCAGGTGCACCGGACCCCCAAAGTGGGCACTCCTCCTCACCCGGTAGTTAGGTGAACCATTAGCCCAAAGGCTGCACCTATCCAAAACACAGCTGGGAAGACCCAGCCACCCAAACAGCGCCGCAGATGCCACAGCGGACTTATTTTACTCACAATTCTAACAAGCCCCTCACCCCCTACCCCCTTTTCAGAGCCAGCTGTTGCACAGGAATGGAATCCAGAATGGCTTTCTTGGTAGGAAGGCCAGGGAGGAAAGATAAACCAGTAACCATGGAGGCCTGGGAGCCTGGGGCCACTGTGTGTGGGGGCAGATGGCTGGTGGCATCAGCTGTACTGCACCAGAGCAGCCAGGACAAGGTGCTCTGTGCAGAGCTGCTAGACAGACAGACGGCAAGCAACTCAGATCCTACCACAGGAGAGAGGCCTGGAGCTGGCCCTATTTCCTGTCAGAGGATTTAAGCTCAGCTTCCTCCTCTGAGATGGAGACAGTGGTCCTGCCCAGCCCCCAAGGAGCACCAACAGATTCAACCAACTCCCAAAGGTAGATGCACTTGGCCGACAGTTGCCAAGGTAACGGCAGTGCTTGTCGGAGTCTGCTCAACGAGACCCGAAAGTAGGCAACTCATTTTTGGATATTTTCCAACAATATGGGGAAAACAATAAAGCCCTAAAGTACTTCAAGGGGTAAGCTTCATTATCTAGAAACTTCCCTCCGGCAGATGCCCTCAGGAAGCTGATTCACCAGGAGACATGACTAAGGTACCAGCGGCTCAGCCTCGTTAACTAGATTATCCACCCAGTTCACATTCCTCCTGAAGGTTATCCAGGACCTCAATGCAAACGTCTCATGGGATCAAGAAGCCCCAGAGCAAGACACCAGGTACAGGTAGAGTGTGGTGGCTCATGCCTACAGTCCCAAAAGCTTGGGAGGCTGGGGCAGGAGGATCGAAAGTTCAAAACCAGCCTCAGCAACTTAGTAAGGCCCTAAGCAATTTAGTGAGACCCTGCCTCAAAAATTTTAAAAATGATAATAAAATAAAAAAGGCCATGGATGTGGCTCAGTGATTAAGCACCCCTGGATTCAGTCCCCAGTACCCTCCCACTGAAAAAAGACCCTGGGTATAGACACTGAAGTCTAGAAATTGTAGTTGGAAATGGGGCCAAACGCTCTTTCAGAACAAGTCTCTAAAAAACTGGACCTTCCGCCTTCAGCTGGACCTGAGGGACCTCAAGCCGGTTAGCTTTGGGGGCATCAGCTGGCAGCTCATGGGATTCCCAGGAAAAAAGCCAGCATGGAATGAACATCACCATCATTACTAATTCAATTCTCATTAGCTGAGCACCCACCACACAGCAGGCAGCACCTAGGCAAAGGGGAGGAGCTCATAACCCACTGAAGGAGAGCCTCATGGTCAGAAAGCAACATAACCTTCATTAAGCACTTCCGAGTGCCAGGCACTGTGCTAGGACCTGTCCAGGCGTTATCTCAATCCACCCTCCCAGCAATCCTATTCTACAGATGTGGAAACTGAGGTCCAGAGAAGGGAAGGTCCTTGGCTGGCAAGTGGTGGAGCCAGGACTGAAATGCAAGCTTTGACTCCAGGGACCTTGCCTGCAACACCTACCACCAGCTCAACAGCAGCTCCACATACAGTGCTTTTGGAAATGTGGGGAAGGGGCAGAGTGGGGTTCTGGGGTACAGAGTGGGCACTGGAACCAGGTGGATATGAGTTCCAACACAGCTCTGCCCTAATGAGCTGGGGGTCCTGAGCACAGTGTTTTCTAAAGCAAAGGAGTCAATGGTGTCTCCTGAAGGAGCTGAATGCTGCCATCTTGGGCATGTTCCACTGGACCAGAGGGGACCAGCAGGAGCACATGACATTGGGTAGGAGGAGTAGTCCAGAAAGGCCTTCATGGAAGAAGGGCCTTGAAGGATCAGGCAGTTTAGGTTCACCTCAAGGAAGGGAACAAGGTGGGACAGGCAGGAGCAAAGACGCTGGAGACGAGAAAGCTGAAGGTCCATTTGGGGAACACCTGGCTGGAGTGCGGGAGAGAACTGGGGGAGTGGAGTGAGACAGAGATGGAAAGGAAGGGGGGTCCACACGTACCGTTGAGCACGAACAGACCATGGGCACAATGACCACTTTACTGTGCGCTGCCAAGGGCGCACACCCATGGGGGGTGAGAAGCCCATTTGCTTCTCCAAAGGATTACATAATTCCTAGGTGATATTAAAATAGCTGATGAAGAATCTACTTTAATCTTTTCTGAGTGGGTGCTGAAGGGCTGAAGGCATCGCTTAGATATTTCTGACAGAATCATTAACAAGAAATAAGCCATAAGCACCGACCTGCAAAACTATGGGCTCCTAAAACTGCCAACTCCTGTACCTTTCTGGGGCCACAAGACTCCTGCTGGGCAAGTGACAGCTGGCATCCCAACAGGCTTGCCCAGCCCAGGCCCTCACCAGCAGCTGCCACAAATCAAGAGCTTTCTCTCTGAGATGAGCAGAAACACGACCATGATCCCCTCCCCACCCACTACCGCCTCAAAAATCTTGTGCCTATGCCCATCCACACAGGATCACGTCCAGCCCGTGCCTGGTCCTCTAGCCCTGGCTCAAATTGTATTGAAAACAATCTGATTTGTAACTCTATAAGCATGCAATATGTCTTCTCAACAAAACTGAATGTTCTGAAGATTCAGTTTTGTTCATATCAAAATTGCACACCTGCACGGCCAGGCCAGGCAGGGTCTGATCCAAGGTCACATCAGGGGGTTGAGGAGCAATAGTAGACATTTAGCCCCAGAGCTAGATAACTAATCTATGGTTCTTGCATATCTAGTACCTTTGCCTTCTAATAATACAGCCACTAAATTACTCATCTGCATATTCCAAAAGTCTAGAATAGAACCTGGCAGAGAGTGGTCCAGTTGGGGCTTCTTTTAAAATTAATTTTGGAAGAAAAGCTTCATCTGTTAGGTCAGGACATGAAGAATGAATGGGAATTAGGCAAAGGAAGGGGGAGAATCTTCCAGGTTAAGGGGATAGCAGGAGAAAAGTCCTGGAGTACTGTGAGAGTGTGTATGTGTGACCACATGGTGTGACAGGCCCCGTGGAGGCGCAGTTAACCTCAGACAGAATCCAAGGACAGCCCCTTTCCATTCCAACTGGCAGGATGGAGAAAGCAAAGGCAGGCAAGTTGTAGGTCTGACGGCAGACGGCTATAAAAGTTTCCATATGATGCCTTCTATTTTTTCTCTGCAGAGGGCAGTAAGATTATCTTCCAAGATGGAGGAGGAAGGGGGAGAGGTAGGAGGTTTCAGGAGGGAAGACAGGTTTGAAATAGCCACTGAGGAGAAGGAGAGAGAAGGGAGGAGAAAATGGCAGACCTGCTGAGCAGCACCCACGGTCCAGTTGAGGTTGGAAACCACACTTCCCATCACATCAATGTGTGTGACCTGCCAAGGTTTCTTTAGGATCCAGATGTGGGTAGAGGGATCGGGATGAGGGTTGCATAGCACCTTAGGGATAGAAAGAGAGCAAGGCAAGGTGTGGAAGGTTCTTGCCAAGACAAGGGCTGACACCATGAGCCAGTCTCCAGGGTCTGGGAAATGCAGAGCAAGACCCAGAGATGCCCTAGAAGTGACTGCCCGTGTTTGAAGTGAAGGAGGTCCTGGCCAGGCCCTCAGAGGAGGTGCGGTGGCCCTGGCTCAGAGGTTCAGGATGTGCGCCCAGAGTGGGCAGCTGGAACCGGTGCCCAAAGAGCGGTACCCAGGAGGAGAAGCGGATCAGTGGTCCTGCTCCCCAAAAAGCAGCCCCTGGGATTCTAGGGTTGGCCGCAATCAATCAGTCCCTAAGCCTCCTTTTAAACCAGGGAGTCAGGGTCGCTGGGAGGGTCAGGGTCTGATCCAAGGTCACATCAGGGGGTTGAGGAGCAACGGGCAGCGAGGTGGGGAGGGCAGGAGGCGCGGGCTGGGGGGTCCGGTCGCCTCCAGCTGCAGGGCTGAGGGTCCGGCGACCTGGGGCTCTGACCCGCCCCTCCCGGCCCCGCTCCGGACCGCAGCCCTCCGGGGCCGGTTCCGGTCGGACCGGAAGCACGTGGCCCCCTATCCCGCGCGGTTGCCGGGGAGACGGGGCTGTTTACCAGCGGGCCGCGCCAGGCGCAGGAGGTGGATGGAGCGGAGCGGCGAGGTGAGCAGGGCAGGCTGCCCGCCCGCGGCCCCGCCGCGCCTGCAAGGGACCGGGGCAGGCGGGTCCCAGAGCCCTGGTGCGTCGCCTGCCTGGGGGACTGGAGCCCCCAGGAGGGAAGTCGCTCCTCCCGGGGGACAGAGCACGACCCGGGCCAGAGCTCACGGCGGTGGAAGTAGGACCAGCTCGGGGCTGTGCACAGCCAGCCTCTGGACACTGATCCAGACAGAGCAAAGGACGTCCCAGTCCCACGGAGGGGCTGGAACCCGAGGGAACCTCCCCCAGACCTGTGCTCTTTCACCCTAGTCATCTCTCACTGTCCAGTTCTGCTGTCTTGCCCTTCCCCCAAGTCCCTTCTTCTGAGCTTTAAGTTTCTTTACTTCCAGGGCTGCCAAAACTTGGAAATCAATGAGTGATCCCCGCCCCTTTGCTGCTGGAATCACCCCCCCGATTTCCTTTCCAATCTTCTGATCACTTGGCTTGTGATTCAGTGTGGCACTGGGCACAGGACAGTGCGTTCTGGTCTTAGTCTAGGGTAGAATTGGGAATAGTACCAAAGTTTTCTCTGGGGCTGACTACCATCTCCTGTTAGTCCTTCTAGATGTTGATGGGGGGTGGGTGACAGGAGTTGGGAATAGCTGATAAACAGTTTTAAAAGACCAATTCCAATGTATGCATCTTGGTATACACCAGCAGATGGTATGTAGGTGGGTATATTTTATTGCTTTTACTGGAGGTTTAGATTTGGGTTGAAAAATGGGGTGCACTGACCCCGTGGAACATGGTGGGTAGCCTTAGAAGGCAGAAATCATGGCTTTCCTTTCTCCCATCAAATTTTCTTCCTTTCCATTTGATTTGGTGTGAATCTTAATGGGCACCTGCCCCCTGGCAACTTCTTGGAAACCGTCCTCAGGGTTTGTTTCCTCCTAGCAGGCCTCTGCAGTGCCGCTATTGTGTTTAAGTAAACAGGCCACTTGCCTACTCAGCTGGCAGCTTGACGGAGTCCTACGCCTAGATCTTGTCAAATCTCTTTGTGGTTGAGCGTCTGCCAGGCCTAGAGGTAGTGAGATTTGCTGAGCATGATAATGATGGTGCTGTGGAAGCCTGCTTGGACTGGGGGTGGCGGGCAGAGTTTGGGACCCAAGGTGTAAATATAAAGGCACACTTGGCCAGATCCCCAAACACCTGTTCCCTCTACCTCCCCTGCCCTTGTGCTGGGTGCCCCAGGGGGAGCTGGTGTTCCCTCCATGTGACAGATGGTCCCTGCACTTAGGAGGAGGCAGTGGGTTATGGAAGCAGGTTGGATATAACGGTTTTACCTGAAGGAGGTGTTAGTCTCTAAATAACCATGAGTGGGCTTTGGGGAATTAGTCATAATGGAGGCTTTTCTCTAAGATAGCTTGCAGTCATGTTATCTTATGACCAGGGTGTCTCGAATATGACACCCCCTGAACATGGCTAATTATATAGTACCAAAAGGTATAACAAGTGCATGCACATAGTCAAGTTTTACTGTTAAAAATAGTCCAGCAGAGACTGTGAGAACACATGACTTCACTCGTCAAAGTTGTTAAGGAAGAGGTTTCTAAGTTACCAAACTTACTGACAGTTAAACCTTCCTGAGGCATGTGTGGGTGTTGGAAGCCAAGCCTGTGATAATTCTGTAGAAGCTGTGGCAAATTAATAGCCCTTCCCTGGCAGGGAGGGTGGGGAGAGAGGGGAGCAAGCTTATCCTTGGCCCAGGAGTTGGACAGTTATGGTCTTGTCACGCTGTTCCCAGTTACATGCAGAGCTGCCTCATTACAAGCGAAAGACTCTAGAACTGAATTTGGGGAGAACGTGTCTTAGAAGCTGATCAGAAAATAGATCAAACTAACAAGGAGACAGGCAGGCTTCTTTGGGGGGAGAGGGTACCAGGGATTGGACTTAGGGGCACTCGATCACTGAACCCCATCCCCAGCCCTATTTGGTATTTTATTTAGAGACAGGGTCCCACTGAGTTGCTTTGCACCTTGATATTGCTGATGCTGGCTTTGAACTCGTGGTCTTTCTCTCAGCCTCCAGAGCTGCTGGGATTACAGGAGTGGGCCACCGTGCCCAGCCAGGCATTTGCTAATGAGAAGTTTCTGAACAACCAGTGGCCAGACTGGGTGTGAAGGATGAATGCAAATGGGAAGGAGAGGAAGACCCGGGCTGTGAGTGGAATGGGGCAAACACAGGCCTTTAAAACAAGAAGCCGAGAGTCACTTATCCCGAGATTTTCAGCAGAGAAAGACATCAGGAATTTATGGGGTTAGTGTGTTTGGGTGAAGATTTTGTTGGCAAGGGAGAGAATACTCCCTATAACCAGGTGACACTGGTAACGTGCACAGAGTGGCAAGGTTAGGACACAGGCCGAGAGGCTTGGGGAATGTTGTTGAGGACTGGGTGGGGAAGCTAGCCTAGAGGGGGGTGAATTTGAGGTCAGTGGAGTGTGAAATTAAAAGGAAAGTGGTCAATTTAGGATTTTTTTTCTTTGCATTTTTGAGGCAACTGCATAGCTGGTAGCTCCCTGTGCAGTGTAAGCCCCAGGACCTCCCTCTGGTTAGCACTGACTGCAGGGAGGAACGCCAAGGACCCCCTGGGGAAAAGCTCTAGAGCAACAGATGCAGCTTTGGACCTAGAATAACCAAAAGCACTAGATAGGCAGTCAGCCAACACCCAAAGCAAGCGCCCTGAACATTTAACTAAGCCCCTACTATGTACCAGGCCTGGTTCTTCCCACTTACACTTTACTTGGTGCTCCTGTTTTCCTGTTACAGAGAATAACACTGAGGTTCAGAGGTATTTAAGTAGCATCTTCAAAGTCATAGATCTAATTTGATAAATGAGGAAAGTTATATGCCAGAATAAACAGTCATGTAGCTATCTGGAGGTCCTCTGCTCTTGTGCCTGAAATACTGTTTCTTGGGGACCATGAGGCACTGGGAAGTCACCAGAAGGTCTTCAGAAGGCTGGGAGAGACCTGGTCAGCCTGAGTAGAGAAAGCAGGAGTCGCCATGATGGTTGGAATGCAGAGGGAAGCAGGGAGCCCACAGCATTCTGGGAAACCTGCAATTGGGAACTGGGAGGAGATGGCAGTAATGGTGTTAGTGGAGGGGCCACCAAGATGGCAATGACAGAAGCAGTGACATGACTTAGTGATTCTGGGTCTACATGGAGAAATGCTCCTCCTGCCGCCTCAGAGTGTAGCCTCTGTGGTTATTTCCCTGACTCGCCTGAGCAGCCTCCGGGAGACCCAGTGCAGAGGCCCTTGGGGTTACGAGGTGGTTGGGAAGCAAGAAATGCAAGTGGCAGAGACAGAATGTGATGTGCTGGGAGAGAGCCAAGGCTGCTCCTTCAAGTAGCAGCTCATTTGGGTACAAAGGACCCAGGACTGAATGTCACAAGACCTGGCTCTGTTTCAGATTCTGCCACCAGCTCGCCGTGTGACCATCAGGCAGCACTACCTCCTGGCTCACGCAGCCGTAGGATTAGCATGTGCCCCGATTCCCCTTAGAGTCGGTTTAAGATGGGGTCTGACCAATTACCAGGCCCAAACTGGTCAGCCACCTGCTACTGTGTGGCTTGTGAGACGAGAAGAGCCTGTTTGCATGTTTAAGTCATTGGGGAAAAAAATCAAAAGAGGAATATTTTGTGACAACATGAAAATTATATGAAATTCACATTTCAGAGTCCCTAGTTGCAGTTCTATTGGACATGGCCACCTGTGTTCGTCTCCCTGCCGTCTCTGGAGCTGCTGCAAAGACGTGGAGTTGAGTGGCTGTAACAGACCGGACCACTGCAGAGCCCCAAATAGCCCCCTTCTGGCTCTTTACAGAAGAGCTTTGGGCACCCCTCGTCTAGAATTTGAGCGCCTCTACAGCGAGATGGCCGGAGAGGCAGTGGGACCTTCCTGTTCCTCTCCCCCAAGCCCTGGTGACAAAGTTAAGGATTTTAAGTGGTTCATGCAGAGCCACCCAGCAAGGCTGGAGGGAATGACAGAGGAAGGAAAAGCAAGGGCAAGCTCAGAGTAGACTGGGAAGGAGGAAGGAGGAAGGGCCGAGGCGAGAGGGGAGCTGGCATGCCAGAAGTCGGTGCCTCCACAGTGGACAATGTGCCTGGGTAGACCACGGGTCCCGTGGGTCCCGTGGGGAAGGACACTCTACGATGGCGGGTTGGGGGCACAGGGAGAAGCTATCAGCTCTTGAGTGGAGCTGAGCCTGGTCTCCCTGCTTAGCACCTTAACAGGGTCACTTTCCTCTTGGAGCCCAAGCAGCTGCCACCCACCCTCCTGACGTTTGCATCTGTCCATAGATGGCACAGGCCACCCCAGGGAGGGTTCCCAAGCCTGGGAACCCACAAATTCCCTGGAATCTACCAAGCTCCCCCTGCTACACGACCTCACCAGTGCCCTTCCCTCCCCAGGGGCCAAATCTGCCCCCCCCCATTTTTGTAACTCAAGTTAGTTCTATTGGAACGGCCACAGCTGTTGTGGGACGGATGGCGGGGCGGTTTGTGCCGCAGTGGCAGAGTTGAGTAGCCGTAACAGACCCTGTGGCTCCCAAAGCAGAACATATTTATGGGAAAAGTTAGGTGACCCTGCTCTGGATTGTCAACAGGGCATCTTCCTTGTCACCATTGTGCTCTCCCAGCTCACAGCCCCTTCTCCTAAGAATCAGAATTAGTCCTCCACTCCGCCAGTCCTGTATTTTCTTCATAGCGGTTGTTACTCTTTGAAAATATCTTTTTACGTGTGCGCTTAGCCCCTGTCCTTCCTCACTATAATAATTCTAAGTGGTGAGGACTTTGGTTTGCTGATCTATCCAATGACCTAAAATGAATGAATACATGAATCGCAGCTGGCGCCCTCTCCAGATGCCAGAAATCCAGAGAGCAGGCTCCGGGACTGTGGCCTGCTGGTGCTTACTCTGGGTACTTGGGGAGCGATGGCATGGATCCAGGTGTTCAGGGATGGTTAACCCACTGCCTCCTGTTTTTTTCCTGCTTCCTCAGGGGTCCTGAGAAGCAATGGCCACAGAAGTCCCTGTGAACCCAGCACCACCCAAGCCCAGCGCTGTCGTCGACATTGCAACTGGCAGCTTTCTTTGGCAGTCAAACTCCCTCAAAATGCATGTCATCAGGCCCAAGTCTGCTAAGGGCCGGACGCGGCCCACTCTGCACAAACCCCAGGGGAAGGAGGACAACCCCCAGCGCACCGCTTCCCCCCGGCCACCAGCCATTCCCTGCGAGTCTCCTGGCAGCCAGAGGCCAGGAGCCTGTGCGCCCATTTCTCCAGCCCAGGGGGCCTTCGAGGAGATCCCTGAACTGCTGCAGCAGGGGCCCCTCGCGGCTTCCTCTTCCCTCAATAAGTACCCCGTCCTGCCTTCCATCAGCAGGAGGCGCCTCCAGGAGGGGGCTGTGGACACGGTAGCCAAAAAGGCCAGTTCACTGCAACTGAGCAGCATCCGGGCCCCTTACCAAGAGGAGGCCTGCACTGTGAAGCCAAGCAAAGAAGATTCCAGAGCTTGCGCTGGTGCCCTGGAGAGGAAGTTTGCCACTGGAACCAAGAAGCAGGGCCCCTCCCAGGATCGAAACCTGGAGGAACCATCAGACCAAGAACCCAGGCTGCTGCTCGCTGTCCGATCACCCTCAGGCCAAAGGTTCATCCGCCACTTCCGGCCAACTGATGACTTACAGACGGTGGTGGCTGTGGCTGAGCAGAGGAACAAAGCGAACTACCGAGGCTGCAGCATTGAGACCATGGAGGTGCCCCGGAGACGGTTTTCTGACCTCACCAGATCGCTGCAGGAGTGCGGGATCCCCCACAAGTCCGTGCTGGGCATCTCCCAGGAGGAGAGGGAGGGGTGGCCCTGATCCACACCACTTAGCTGGGGTCCTGGGTCTCTGAGCATGGAGCATGCTTGGGTGCCGGGGCCTCCCAGGCAGCCTGGCTCCGAGTGCCATGTGAGCCCTGTGCAGCTGTGGTCCCTGGGTCCCGTCTCCACAGCATATCATCTGCTGATGTGCTGAGGGCACAGCAAAGACTCCTTGGACCACCCTCCGTGCTCTCCACCTCTGGAGCAGCTGGAAATGTCCAAGGCTGTTCCTTAAACAGCTACAGCCAGTGTGCCGGGTCCTCCTAAAACAGAGATTCTTTCTAGAGCATTTCCTCTCTGAACACAAACCCTGACTCTCTTGAAGCCGATGGTTTGCCTTTCTGTATTTGTTGCAGGATTAAACACTAGAGAGGATTCTAATCTGGTAAATAGCCAGGGTCTAGGAAATCTCTAACTAGCATTTGTATTTCTTACAAGTATATCTTTAAGAAACAGGCTGCTGACCTTGTCTCTGGAAGCAGCCCCTCTGCTGGGCTTGGGGGTGGTCAGTTGCTTAGGGATTTCTATTTGTGTGATGAGGCATCAAAGGGAAGACGAGGTCTTCTGCTATTGCAAATCCCCCAAGATAGCACCATTTCTACCGTCCCGGAGCCGGAGGTAGGTGCTCCCACAGCCCTGGATTAGGCAGTGCTGCTATTCAATGGGGACCAACTTGGGTTTCCACTCCTGTAGCTTCTCTATGCACACTTCCTCCAAAACTGAGAAAAGCCAATGCAATTTGATTTCCTTTGCTTTCGTCACGGATGGAATCTTCTGTTTTTGAAATAGACAAACCTACAAGTCTGTTCAAGTTTGTACTAAGGGCCCCTTATAAATAGTTTCATTCCCCAGTTTTGGTGTCACACCCACTTCAAGCATGGAAGGTCCTTTGAGGCAATGACTGCACACCCTGTGCAGGAGGAGGAGCGCACCTGCCTGGGGTTGCTTTGCTGTGCCCGTGCCAAGACCACGGCCATGAGGCAGGCTGGCTGGCACCAAGTGCCTTAGCCCCAGATGCCCTGAAGACTGTGGCGTCCTGATTTTCCAAGGCTGAAGTTGAGATGTGGACAAGTTGCCAAAGTTTTCTTGTATTGTGGGTCCAGCCAAACCTGCACAGCTCATCTGGATCCTTTTACTCTGAATCACCATTTAGAGTAAGGAACACTCAGACCTTCTGGGCACCAGCACCCTCAGAGCTTGGCCCTCACAAGCCATGGGTACTGGTACGTTCCCCCACCTCCTAGGTACACAGGGAAGGCAAGAGTCAGGGGTTCTAACAGCATATACATGTTGCTGCCTCATCTCCAAGGACAGCTTGTGCACAGATATAGCCGGTGGTTGGAAATGTGACTTCTGGTGCATTTTGGGAAGAAGGTTGGCCTGTCCCAGCTGTACCCCATGCCTGTCCCAGCTGTACCCAGGTCACTCAAGGCCAGGTTGGTTCTGAAAGTTTGCAAAATTTCTTAACACTATCCTGATTTAGTTGGTAGCTCCTTTAATTGGAAAGACCAAGTGGGTTGGCCTTGCTTTGGGCAGAGCTACAAAACTAGCCACCTCTTCCAATTTTTGACCATGACAGAAGGTCTGGGGGCTTGAGCCTGGAACCTGTGGCACAGGAACTTCACCTCCCCCCAGATGAAGCACAAGCACATAACTCTGCCTCTGATCTACAACCTGGGGGAAGAGACTCCCGTAAAATCCCACCTACTCTATGATAAGAATAAATCCCACCCACTGCGACTTGGTAATTTCTCTAGACAGGAAAGCCTTAGCCAGCTCGAGTGACATGCAGCCTGCCTGAAGGACCAGAACCCTCTGCCCTTAGGGGTGGGCTCTGCTCTGCAGGCTAGAACTCGGGGGTAGTGAATAAAATGGGAGCCAAGAAGCAGAGAAATATTTTTGGTAGTTGAGGATATGTGAATAAAGCTAGATTTGAACCATCATAATAAACATTTTGGACAAAAGATGATAATGCTAACAATAAAAGCTGATTTGTGTGAAATGGTCTGTGGAGAAACACATCTTTTCTTTTAGCCCATCATACACTGCGGATAGAGGGGTGCGTAGACCTCATCTGGGGTTTTCTCCCTGGGAAATCCCATGTTCTACCCTCACAACCAAGTCTTCCTCCCACATTTGAGGTGCCACTGAGTTCCAGCTCCTGCCACGGCTCTTAGCTGCGTCCGTACAGGAAGACTGTCCAGAATTTCTCCTAAAAATCATCACAACGGCTCTTTTGTGTTGGCGAGAACAGATGATTTCAGAATTCAGAGTACTTGATGGCTCTGCATGTGGCCTTACCAATTTTAGCACCTTGGCCTAATGGGTTCAACTGGGCCCAGGGCACTCTCTTGGTAGCCCTGGAGAGGCTAGACTTGCTCACCCATTTTGTGGTCATAGAACTGGTCATAAGTTAAATAAGGGTCTGGGGGCATACACTGTGCCACTCTTGACAGGCACGGGGCCCTAGCAAGAGAATGTATGCAAAGGAATATGAAGCCAACACTGAACTCTCAAGCCTACTGATGTTGGTGGCTGTGGCTGTACCCATGAAGGACACCAGATGAAGGATCACACTATACCATCCCGTGTCATTATTATTATTATATTAGGGATTGAATCAAAGGGCACTTCATCACTGAACTACATCCACAGTCCTTTTTAATTTTTATTTTGAGACAGGGTCTAAGTTGCTGAAGCTGGCCTCAGACTTGTAATCCTCCTGCCTCAGCCTCCCAAGTAACTAGATTACAGGCACATGCCACTATGCTGGGCTTGATTCCATATCTTCTGCCTCCTACAAAGGAAACTTCCCCACCTTTTCCAGTCATGGTGCTGGAAGACTACTCTTAGGATCATGAACTTTGCATAAGACAACGCTCATTATTATTAATAAGCATATTCCCTGATTAAGTCCAGTAGGTAAGTTAGTCTTGGCAGCAGAAAGAACAGCAGGAGAAATAAGTGACTCATCATTTAGAATCCAAAAAATTTGTACCAACAGATGGCAGGTGGTTTTAGCATAATGTTCCTCTCTCTGAAATTACCCAGGGACCAGGTCAAGAGCCATCAGGCCAGGGCAGTCCTGCTGAAGAGATGGCCTGTGAACATGACCAGGAGCCAGCAGTTACCCCCGAGTTCATGTGTCAAATAATTCACAAAGACGCTAAGATGTATTCCACTCCAGGAATGACCTTAAAACCCCTTGATGGATCGCCAGCGTTGGAGAAGGTGGCACCAGAGGCACTGGACTTAGCTCTCATTTGTGCTTTTATGGGCCATTTTAAAGGGTTTCCAACATTAATGCCACCCAGACCCAGGGGACGAAGAAGTTTCTCTTTACATAATTCTTTCAGGTCTGTGTAAATAAGTCAAGAGAAAAGAGTACTTGGTTTCCTGTAGTTTGGGGCATCTTCTGTGGTAAGAGGATCTCTTTTTCTACCTTCTAAACAAAATCACAATGGAAATTAGGTTCTTCTGCTTTGGTGTTAGTGTAGAAGTCATTCTGAGAATTAATCAGGAACATCTCTTTTCTTAATCAAAGGCAACACACTGCAGTGACAATGAAAGTTCCAGAGCCTATCTGCCCTCACCCCAAACTGGAACCAAGCAAACCCACCCTAAAAGCAGGAAGGCCAAATCCAGGACGGAGCAGCTGGCAGCCAAAGTAGAGCAGACTCTTGGTGACTCAGTTACCAACAGGCAAGACAGTAACTCACACTATAAAAATAAAATTGGGCGTTTTATTTTTTGTCCACACCAGTGATGCGCTGGTCTCCTCTCCCCGTTAGGGACATTCCTACCATCTCCTCTGTTCCTCTTGGTTCCTCCACATTCAAACAGCTCAGGCTCTCCTGAACAGCCGAGGAGGAAGCACGAATCCCTGCATCTATTTCTGGACACATTTAAATCCTGTCCCATCCCAAGAGGCTGAATAACTGATGTGACAAATGCCAGTGGGTAAAATTAAGCAAGCCTCATCCAGCCAGTCCTGCTTGAGGGGCCTCTGCCTGCTGCATTGAGCAGACTGCGGGGCCAGGGTGAGAGAGAGAAGATGGACTCTGGGATGTCGCAGCTACTAGGCAAGAAATGATGGTGACTCAGGCCAAGGGGGCATCCACAGAAGTCACGAGAGGTGGTCCACTTCTGGACACATACACAAGCCCTTTTCTTTAGGAAAAAAGGAAGCATAGTTTGACAAGTCGGAATTTGCCCAAGTGGACTTGGCTTGACCAGTGTCACCAGTGTGGACGGACTGGGCAAAACAAACATGGCAGCAGCAGAGCACAGGAGATGAGGCGCGGGGGGGATAGTAGCAGCAGCGTGCTCATAGAAAGGAAATGAAGAAAATGTGAACAAAGTGACAGAGAAAAGCAAAGCTATTGTCTGCTGTAACTGAGAAGAGGCGATAAAGGCCACTGCTTCACTTAGCGTTTAGTTAAAATGAATCGCCACTAACTCCAGGGCTGCGCCCACTGACCAAGGTTGCTTACAACCTTACCTCTGCTCCAGGGACGGCACATGGTTCCTCTGTCTCCTGGCCTCTGTCCCTCCATTTTCTGCCTCCCTTCATTCCATTTGTTCAAATCCAACAGCTGATTTGGGGTGCATTTCTACTTGGAAGGGCAAATAAAACCACCATCCAGTGACCTGAGTAGGAAGCCCTGGTTTCACCATTTCCATGCCTGCCTGTTCTTTATACTCAGAGGACCTGTGGGCCTCTTGGGACCAGTCAAGGACTGACCGCTGTCAGGCCTGTGCCTTCGGATGGAAATGTGGGTATCACAGGTCCACTGGCTGGGTCTGCTCAATGCTAGCTCACTGTTAGCAAGGAATGTCTCTTCTCTTAGTCAAAGGCGACACACTGCAATGACAATGAAAGTTCCAGAACCTATTTGTCCTCCCCCCAAACTGGAACCAATCAAATCCACCCTGAAATCAGGAAGGCCATATCCAGGATGGTCTGCAGACGACCCGTCTTCGAGTAAGTCTAGAAACTTCTGCCCCATCCTCCACCCCTGCATCCAACCCCGGGAGGCTGTAGAGGACGACCCAGACCAGAGTCAAGTGTTCCATGTCCTAAAGACCCTTGTACCTCTGTGGTGGCCCCCAGCCCAGGACTCGGCCCCAGCTGGCTCCCCGCAGGCCTCCATCGCATTCAAGCCACCTGGAAGACTTTAATTCAACAACTATATGCCAGTCCCTACATGCGAGGCACATATTAGACTCATCAGCGAAGAGAATAGCCTCCCATCTCTGTCCTTAAGGAAGTCACACGTGTTTTTTGAGGGGAGATAGAAAGTAAACAATATGCATGGGACTTCGAGTAGAATGGTAGTGCGATAAGAGGGGTTGGAGACCCTAGGGTGGGCAAGGGTGACGTGGGGACAAGGAGCATCTGAGTGGAGAGTGGAAGGCGGGGAGTCAGCACGTGGACACGTGGAGACAGAGGGCTGCCAGTAGAGGGCATGCAAAGGTCCCAGGGTGGGTCACATGGAGCCTGTGAGAGGAAAAGCAGAGCCCAGTGCAGCTGGAGGGAAGGGGGGCAGAGCTACCATGGACAGGGGCAGGAGGCGGACACTGTCACTGTGGGTCACGTGGGGAGCCAAGGCAGGGTGCCAGTAGAGGAGTTCCAATCAGCTCTCTGGCTGCTGGGAGGAGGACAGGCCCAGGACAGGAGACGGAAGAGCAAGTAGAAGCTACTAGCATCAGCTAAGCCAGAGGCGAGGCCCAGGGTGGTAGCCACAGAGGTCATGAGAAGTAGCCAGGTTCTGAGAATCTAATCTGTTTACTTAAAAAAGAAGCAATATTAATTTTATTCTAAAAATAGTAATAAAGTCAATGCTCTGTAGCATCATTTACATTATTTTTCCAGTTAGAAAAGACTCATTCATACACGATCCATTACACTCTGCCCCCGAAATGAAACACTTGGTTTTTTTTTTAATGCAAAACTTGGAAAATAGAGAGGAGATTGAAAAGGGAAGGAAAACCATCCATAATCCTTTCAGTCAGAAATAACCGTGGGTAATATTTTGGCAAGTATTATTTTATCCTTAGAGATTAAATTTATGTTGCACATTACTTTCTTGCCAATAGGCACACATGCGTATTTTTAACATTTGTAATCCTAGCAAACACAGTTTTATATTCTCTTTCCAAATTTCAGCAGTCTTTGTAATCATTTTAAGATTGAGTAATATTTCAACATGTTGATGTCCTGTAATTATTCAACTATTTCCCTTTTCTGGAACATCTATGTGTTTCCTTTTTTTTAACCACAGAAATCAATGTTAAAATTCTTATTTGTGTAGCTTTTCACATCTTTTGAATTATTTCTTCAGCACCAATGCCCACGAATAGGATCAGTAGGCCTAATTATATGGAAAATGTTAAGGATTTTGCTCTGCTTTTCAAAGGGCTATAGAGAGAAGCACATGAATTTTGCCATAGCATCTTCCATTTGAGGTTACTGCTATTTTATAATTTTCCTTAAAATTTTGCTCATCAAAAATGGCAGGGCTAGGGTTGTGGCTCAGTGGTAGAATGTTTGCCTAGTATGTGTGAGGCACTGAGTTCAATTCTCAGCACCACATAAAAAATAATTAAAGATATGGTGTCCATTTACAGCTAAAAATGTTTTTTTTTAATGGAAACTAAACTTTTTTAAAAATGTGCATGGCATTGATTACTATTAAATATCACCATGTCTTTCAATACATTTTTAAGACTAAAATGAAAAACTAAAGGTACCACTTCTTTATGGTCATGACCAAGGCCAAAGAAGGAAGGGACTAGGAGTCTGAGAGAGAAATTCCTTTGTTCTTACTATCCATCTTTACGTGAAGCAGTACACTTTCCAAAATATATATGGTATTGAACTATTGGCATACTGGATTTGAATGAATCACATCTTATTTACATACCTGTCTGTTCTTTGCACCAACAAGCTAAACATGTGCATTTGTCAGGCGTGGAACATGATGGTGAATCCAACTGGTC